CGAGCAGCCTGTACCACGAGGGCATTTCTCCATGCAGATGGAAATGCACTTCCCTGCAGTTTCCATCCACGGATTTTGTTCCCGTCTTCTGGAGCAACCGAGAAGGAGCTTGGCAGCGCTTCATCAGGCCCAGATCTGGGGGAGAAGGACAATTCACCCCAGCAGCCTATTGACATGCACAGCAGCCATAAAATAAACCTGAAATTGCCCGCTGAGGGGATCCAGGGCCCCTTGCGCCTGCACTCTGTAGCTAAGCCTCCAGCCGTTGTGCTTGACGGAATCGTACGTGGGGGAAAGGGTCAGTGGTGGATGCTGTGAGAAGACACAGCTTGCATCGGCCTGCCACCTTCAGAAGGGAAGCCGGTGTCCCAGGCGCCTTGCGCCGAGCCGGAAGCGTTTCCCCCGGGCCGTTCTCTGCCCCCAAACACGCTCACAGCCCCCTGCCTGCGGTGCTGCTCCACCTCATCCCAGAAAGCCGGCTGACTTGGCACGCAAGCGCTCCCAGCCAGCAGCTGACTGGGAGCAGATGGGTTCACTTGGCATCGCACTGTTGCTCCAGGCCTGCACAGGCTCCCCCCGCCTTTGCCTTCTGTCGCCTGGATGGATTTCCTCTGGTTTTGCCCCCTCATCGTCTGCAGGGGGCTGAAAATTGGAGAATGCCCTTTCTCTCCCAAGGCAAGATGGCCAGAGCTTCTTCTGCCTTTTGGATCCACTCAGTCAACCAGAAGCACTGGTTTCTGTGAACTGCAGGGAAATTTTCACTGTTTTTGCTGTTCCTATAAATAGCACGGCACATGTATTGAATCAATATATGTGTGGCTGTTTGTGCAGAAACAGGCTGAGAACGAAGTGTGCAGTCGGTAGAGAGACGAGACTGCAAGGGGAAATAAGTAAAAGGGAGATAATTGGATGGATGGAGAAAGATACCAGTAGGCAGTAGAACTGGGTCCAGTGAGGAAAGGCTAGTGAGGGTCTCCAAATTCCAGTTGGAGCTTGGCTGAAATATCTTGTACGAACCCACCAGTATTAATAAGCCATGGTTGCTTGACCATGAACAACCCATGAACAGAACCCTTGGTTTGTTGTTGGCTTGTGAACTGTGGGTTCCTTGTGGTTAGGAAACCATGGTTTGTTAGTAAAGCAAGGTTCAGACAACACAAATGCCGCATTTCAGCAACAACCAGTCATTCAGTGACAACCCACATTCAACCCATACTCAACCCTTGGGTGTGGGTTATCATCCTGTCTGAACCCAGCCAATGGGAGAAGGGTACTTCCAGGTGAGACTTTTCCCTTCTCACCCTGACTTGTTTTGCATGGGACTGGAATAAGTGGAAATGTGGCCGAAGCTAACCAAACTGAGTCCTGTGCCCTGCTTTTCTGACTCCCCCCCCCACCATATGCCAGGTATTTAATTAGAGCAACATAGAATGATAATCTTATCCGAAAGTGTTGCTGTTATCAGAGAGCCAGCATATCCCAGTGGTTACAGAGTTGGTCCTGAACTGGGAAAATCCAAGTTTTAGTCCCAGTTCTCTGTGAAGTTCCCTCGGAGACTTTGGTCCACTTCCTGACCATGCTTTGTGACTGGCAAATGCCCACCACAGTAGCCATTTTGTGAATAGTAAGGCCAGGCTGCCATTTTGTGAGGGTGCCCACATCACTCTAGAAAGTTTAGGTGTGTCCTTGGCCCCCAAGATGGTTGGAGACCCCTGATGTTTAGGGAAGGCACAGTGGTGTCCCCTTGACTTTGAAGATTTGCCCATGTCGTAACAAGGAGGGGGAATCTTCAGGATTTGATCTCAATTTGCCACTTTTATGGGATCAGAGAATCATAGAACAGTAGAGCTGGAAGGGGCCATGAAGGCCATCCAGTCCACCCCCTGCTGTTGCAGGACACCACGTTACACCATCCCACTCAGACGGCTGTCCAGTTTCTTTTTGAATGTCTCCAGTGTGGGAGAGCCCCCCACCTCTCCAGGCAGCTGGTTCCACCATCACATTGCTCTGACAGTGAGGAAGCTTCTCCTGATGTCCAGCCTGAATCTGGGTTGTCGCAACTTGACTTGATTATTCCGTGTCCTGCACTCTGGCATCAGCAGGACGAGATCTTGACCTTCCTCTTTGTGACAGCCTTTGAGGTTCTTTTAGAGGGATCTCATGTCCCCCCTCAGTCTTCTCCTCTCAAGGCTGAACATGCCCAGTTCTCTGTCTCTCCCCACAGGGCAGTGTCTCAAAACCCTGGGGGGAGCGTGCCTGCCCCCTCACTGGCCACTTTCCCAGGTAGAGCAAGCCCATTTTTCCCCATTGGGACTAATTTCCTTGATAACGATAAGAATGCCGAAGCCACTGTCCATCCGGTGGTGGACATTCTGTCCTGGATGCTCCTTGAGGGGATCTCGCTCAAATTCGTGTTGTTTATGCTGACCAGTTTTGTTTTGCAAACATATCTGACTACTTTTATCTCCGGTCTGCCGACCGCAATAAAAAAATCAAGACTTCAGCTGCATGATGAATGCTTCGTTCACTCTCTCCGTACTGTGTATACATTCGGGCTCCGCAGGTCTGCAGCTGCCTCCTTCATTGTGCGGCCTTTTGGCCTCTGTGTTTACACTCACTCTTTTCTGTGTGTGTAACACACGAGCCAAGAATAACGCTTCATGCAAACATCTGACCTTGTGGGCCCAGCCCATTAAAGCTTATGATGCAATAAACGTGTCACTGTTTTTTACTAAAATGGCACCAGATCTGGTATCCACAAGGAGGTCATATGAAATATTGTGAGCTTCCATGCTCGGTCTTTTGCAAGGGGACTTCTCGTTTGCCTAAGTTTCTGCAGTGGCCTGCTTCAAACTGTGTTTGAAACGTGCTTCTGGAAGAGAACTTTGTGGATTGTTGTTGTTGTTGTTAGTCGCAAAGTCGTGTCCGACCCATCGCGACCCCATGGAGAACATTCCTCCAGGCCCCCCTGTCCTCCACCATCCCTTGGAGTCCACTCAAGCTCACACCGACTGCTTCAGTGCCTCCATCCAGCCACCTCATCCTCTGCCGTCCCCTCCTTCTTTTGCCATCTATTGTTCCCAGCATCAGGCTCTTCTCCAGGGAGTCCTTCCTTCTCATTAGGTGGCCAAAGTACACTGGATCAAAAGAAAGATGAAGAAGTGGGTTCTAGAGCAGATCCAGCCAGAAGTTTCCCTAGAAGCAGAAATGACAAAACTGAGGCTGCCATACTTTGGACAAGGCTCAGCAAGACTCCCTGGAGAAGACAGTCATGCTGGGGCAAGTTGAAGGCAGAAGAAGGGGGAAAGATGGATGGATGGATGGATGGATGGATGGAGTCCATCAAGGAAGTCATGGCCTTGCACCTGGAAGAGCTGAATGGAGCTCTCCTGGACAGGACGTTCTGGAAAGCTCTCAATCCTAACATCACCATAAGCCACAAACAAGTTGACGGCACATCACAACAGTTGCTTCAGATGTAACAAGCCCAGTCTGATAAATCACGGTTTGTTGCAGGGGTGGGTAACCTCAGGCCAAGGGGGCCAAAGCTGGCCCTGCTGAGGCCCCCGTCAGGCCCACTGTGGTTCCCTGGTTGGCCATATCCCCCTAACCACGAATCCTTCAGTGCTCTCCCAACCTTGTGGAGTTTTCGCCACATGCTGAGAGGTTGACTTACTTAAGAGCAGCAAGAGCTTTTATCCTATGTGCATATACTTAGGTCTCCACCTCCCAGCATGATCTCACTTTTAAGCTGGATTATACTGGTTTGACTGTCCATTTGGCCCCATCTGTTTTGCTGTTGGCCGCTCCTCCACTGGAATGCAGTTTCCAGGGACTTCTCTAACACTGACTTCTCTCCCCAGGCTGAACAGGTTTGCCGTGCCTGGCTTATCAGATCAAGTAAAGCCCATGTGCCTCTCCCCACCCTTTCCTTTTTACTCTTGTATGGTTTCCTGGTTCCCTAAACCACGGTTTCCTGCAATGCTCAACCAGGCAACCAAAAGGCTCTCAACAAACCAGGTTATCAAACCGTAATGTGGTAATTGTCCACTTTCTTTGCTGTGTAATTATTTCTCTTACCGATTTTTTTAAATCATGCCGATACAGAGAATTTAATTGCTTTTTAATTACTTCTAGAGGCATTCAATAAGTATCCCAGAAAAGTGCGATGATCTTCATTGAGTAGTATTGCCTTTATTGTGTGCTTCATTTTATTTATTTTATTTATTAAAACATTTCTATGCCGCCCCTTGCCGAAGCCTCGGGGCGGCTTACAACACAATAAAATACAATAAAATACAAAAATAACAATATAAAATTAACAATATAAAATAAATAACAATGTAAAAGAAGTCGCCCTGACCAGATGAATGTTCTGATCATGATCATGTTGTTTTGACAGGGTAGTATCCAGCATTTGTCCAGCTTAAGTCCCACTGATTTCATAGTCCTGCTCTATGTTGGAGTGACACTGGATGTGTGAGGAATCCGGACTGGGGGAGGACCCTGTCAGCTTTCCTCAGTCCAGCTCCCCAGATCCTGACCCACTTTCCCTCTCCCCTAAATCTGCCTCCTGCCCACCTGCAGGGGCATCCTGCAAGAAGCGAATTCAAGTGGAATTCTGCTTCCATACCCACGACTTGCAAGCTTTGTATACTTTGCACAAAGAATTATGTAAGTTGCGTATCTTTCACAACGAACTGCATGCTTTGCACACAGAATCAGGCACCGTTCCCAAGCATCCTCAGGCTCTGTCTCGGCTTTGCTCACTTCCTGGCTGTGGCCAAGTGTGGGACACAAGTCCAGGAAACGTAAGAGCCAGATTCCAACCGGATCTTTCCATCCCTCATTAGACGCACACAATACAAAAATGATATTTTAACTATTTTTGATAGATATATGCTGCTAGATTGGCACGTATGTAACCTAGAGTAAACAAACACCAAACCAACCTATCCAACACCTTCTCAGAGAAACTTTGCTTCTGTCTTGCTTTCCAGGTGGGCTGCAAGGCAGCCATGGTGTTCTTCCAATACTGCATCATGGCCAACTTCTTTTGGCTCCTCGTCGAAGGGTTGTACCTTCACACACTGCTAGTCATCTCCTTCTTCTCAGAGAGGAAATACTTCTGGTGCTACATCATGATTGGCTGGGGTATGCAACCTCCTTGAGCACTGCTTTTATGGGGGCAGGTCTACCTTAGCGTCCCGGCCTCCCGGAGTTGCAGTTTGGACCTTGTGCTGCAGAAATCTAACCCTGCATTTGTGAGTGCACCAACACTGTTATGTCAAATCCAGAATGTTGTGCGACGTGGCATCTCCAGTTGAGAGGCAATTTTGACTTTTGCGTGTGCATGTGAGTGTTCGTGTACGATGCACAAATTATCCTTCTTCTTGAATTTTCTCCTGTTTCTTCGGAGCTGCTTTGAGTAGATCTCTGTAGTATATACCTTGAAAATCTAAGTTTGATCCTTTCTGCGCAGGTGCACCAACACTGTTTATCACTGCCTGGACCCTCACCAGGATCCACTATGAGAACGAAGGGTAAGCAAGCAAAATCGGACAGCGACATAATTTTTTTGGCAGCTAAAAAATGCCAGGAAGTAGAATTTTTCCTACCTTTGCTCCTGCTAGTATTGCACTGCGAGTTTTTAAACCTCAGAGGATTCTCAGGTGTTCCTAAGGGAGAAGATCAGTTAAAGAAGCACAAAAGGTGGAGACTTTCCCTGCGGGATGGAGGGAGCCAAGTCCTGATATTTTGTGATCAGTTGTGCTACCGAGGCTTACTTTCAAATAGGCATGTTTGCTGCTATAAATCGGTAGCAATGGAATGTTGGAAGGGGGGTGGGTTGGATTTTTCCACTTTGCCATTTCTACCAATGGCCCCATCTTGTTCTGGAATACAAATCCCAAGAGTTTCTCCCTAGATTTCAGTCCCGAATAGGTTCGCCACCCTTTGTATAAACAGTATTGAAGTAGATGGATCTGTAGTCTGACTTGAGAAACAGCAGCGTATAAAGGCCTATAACTGCTTTTTCTTCCCATGCGTGGAGTGATACAAACAGAGAGAAAACTACTCCAGTGGCTTTTTGCAGACTTTCGGGCAATTTCACAATTTGTGGGCTTAACATTGGTGCAAATGCATTTGTTTGTCTTTGCACACATTCACCCTTCCGGAAATGTGCGAATGGGACAAGAATTCCCAAATCCCCCATTGCACGTATTTCAGCCTTTAAGTTTGGAAGAGAGGCATTTTTGATTGGAGATATTTATTTATTTATTTATTTATTTATTTATTTATTTATTAAAACATTTCTATGCCGCCCCATTCGCCGAAGCCTCGGGGCGGCTCACAACATGAAGTTAAAATACGAAAAATAACAATATAAAAATAACAATATAAAATAAGTCACCCTGGCTTATTTTGTGCAAAAATATGCAAAATAAAAAATCAGCTGGCATGTGGACTCCACGTGACATGAGAAAACTGATCCACTACAAAATGTACTCCAGGAGACCTGGACTCACCTGAGTCCATGTGGATTTCCCCAACACCCCGCACAGCATCTGAAAATCCTCTGGAAGACATGGGAGTCCCACGTATATTATTATTATCTTCTGTATTATCACCTCCCCGTACGTTGCAAGGCGCTCTTGACTCCAGATTATGTTTTTCAGTTGCTGGGATTTAATCGAATCGTCCTACTGGTGGATCATCAAGGCTCCCATTTTGGTTTCGATACTGGTAAAGTTTCTGCATTTTTCACCCGTTATAAAAGTGAGGCTAACCTTCTGTGCTTGGCTCTGGCTCCCCAACCTGTGCCAAAAAATCAGAAGAATCTGCCAGAACTTTGTCAACTGGGAAAGGCGTGTGCTGGGCATGTGGGTGTTCGTTTACCCAGAACGGAAGCGGGATTTTTCTGTTCACCCTAATTCAGACGCTGCTCACCCTGCTTCATGGCTGCTGTCCTGCAAGTCGGTGTTCACAACTTCCCTTTGAGCTGCCGAAGTGCCACTAAGTGTCCCAACCAACCAATAAATCATTCCTCTGGCAGGTTATGGCCATATCTAAAGGACCGCCTGCCCCCATATATACTCACCCGCCCCCTTGGATCAGCCCAGGAGGCCCTTCTGCAAGAACCGCCCCTCAGGGAGACGAGGGGCGGGGGGCAACCAGGCGAAGGGCCTTTTCTGCTGCTGCTCCCCATCTTTGGAACTCCCTCCCCAGGGAAATCCGCCTGGCGCCATCTCTGTTTTCCTTTCGGCACCAGGCAAAGACATACTGTTTTAGGAAATTTTTTAACATTTAGCCTGTATGCTGTGGTCCTTTTAATTGTTTTTATAGATGTTTAATTCATTTTGTTTTAATGTGTTTTTATGCTGTTAGTGTGATGTATGCATTGTAAGCCTCCTAGGAAGGCCTTGGCAATTATAGGCAGCCTACAAAGACATGTAAATAGATAAATAAGTTCACAGTAGCCCATTTTCAGCAATAGGTTCCATCGCCCTGCCTTGCCACCAAGGTGGAGGTCATGATCCAGATCGGTGCCAAGCACAGTGCTTGGCCTGGCTCATCAGACATTACGGGTGGCTCGGAGAGTTCAGCGGTGCTGGCTTTGCTCTCCATCGATTGTGGTCGGATCCAGAGCCTGCATGGGGTCTCCGGCTGTGGACATCCTCCGTCTGGCCCAAGAAGGCTGCAAGACCTTTCCGCCCACTAGCGGCCTGGGGCAGAGGGAGCTGAGGGTTTCCCCGGACTTAGCAGATCTGGAGAGCCAGCACAGAACTGTTTTCTCCAACCGTGTTCCTCCAGTGCAGGGAGACCTGGAGCAAGGGGAGCCATCCCCTGGACGTGCAGGCTGGAGAATCGCTTCTCTAGCCATGCCTCAGGGTAACTTCAGAGCCTTCCGGCTTTTGCCAGCCACGAAAACCGTGTGCCCCGAAGCTGAGCCGTGGCCACGACAGTACTGAGCGCTTCCCCCAGCTGGTCGTCACTCAGATCAGCTGCACCTGCACACATTTTCTCCCACCGGAGAAGAGAAGCTCAGGCTTAGTCGTGACGCCAGATCCCAGCTGCCGGGCCCAGGATCCGCCTAGTCCAGCGCTCTGTGTGCATGGTAGCCAACCAGCTGCCCCCAGGATCCCTCCAGCAGGATGGGTACAAGACTTCCACCTGTGCAAGCTCTGCAGCAATGGGCGTCTGCAGGCAGGCCACCTCTGGTGAAGGAGGGAGCCCATGGCCAGCAGGGCTAGTGGCCACAGATAGCCTCCCCCTCCTCCATGAATCTGTCCCATCGCCTTTTAAAGCCCTCCAAATGGGCGGCCACCAGCACTTCCTGTGGCAGCGAATTCCATAGATCAAGTATACCTTGTGTGAAGAAGGGCTTCCTTTTATCTGTCCACCCATCAGCTCCATGAGACATATAAGGGAAGGAAGATTTTGGCAGTTCTGCCTCAAAGCAAGCCCTGCTATGGCCAGAGGCAGCATGGTCGAAGTTGTGGGACCTTTTATATCTAAAGATGGGTAACCTTGAGCCCTCAATCAGGTCTCATTTGATGTGTCGGTTTCTGTTTTGCTCCACATCATTCTGCCTTCCATCTCGGGCTGTACACAAAACGCAAGAACTTGCTTTGGTGGGGGTCAGTTACGAAGATGTTGCAAAATAGAATTTTGGAGACACTTTCAGCTCAGGCATGTTTCCAGCCCTCTCTCTCCAGAGCTCCAACAACAGTTGTTTATCTCTGACCACATGAAGAAAGCATTCTTAAAAAGCGGATTTTTAAAATGCACGATTGCTGTGCATTTACCCAAAGCGATCTGTGTTTCTTCTCGACACTAGTGCTTCCTTCTCACTGTTGCTGAAAGATAGGCTGTGTTTTCTGTATTGCTGTTAAGAGGATATGAAATTAAAACTGTTCTTATTCTATCTGTGGGGAGCATTTCTCCTAGAAAGAGGTAAAAGTCAGGAGAGGGTGAGGCATCTCTGGTCCGGGGGAGCTGTGTTAATCCTTCTGCTTTTGTACCATCCTCTTGCAAAATGATGGCTAAGCCCTGCTTTTGAATTCAGGAATCTGTCCACCCAGCTGATAAGTCCCCTGAAGTGAAATTCTACTTCAGACCAACGTGCTTCAATTAAATCGCTGCAAGGTAGTGGAATTCTTAAAGCATTTGCATCTTCTATCAAGGGGGAAAGTGCTGCAGCCCATCAAAATGTTTTGGCCCTTTCAAAACAAAGTTTTTTAAGAACTAGGAAAGCTACTCATGGCCTTGCAAAACCGCTCACCACTAGCCTGCTCATGATTCCCCGGCTCGGGGCAGAAACATTAGACCACAGCGATGCCCCAGGTTTATCCCGTGCCACCTTCTCCCCCCACCTCCATCCCTTCTGACTAACTATGAAGGCTCTTTTCCCATCCAGGCATCGACGTGGTGCGAAGCTGTGCTCTGTGGGTTTGACATCATCATTCTTGAGATGTTATAACGCAAAGTCCCAAGATGGCTGATGTCAGGCCCAAGATGGCTGCCGTCCTGTCCTGCTTTCCCCTGTCGCTCGCCACGTTCCGTGTCTTGCCTCTGTTGTCCGTATTTTCTCATTTCCCCAGAAAAACGCTGCGCTGTGCGTGAAACACTCCTGGACATGGCATGCCACTCAATGAGCTCACGCCCTCCACTGCTTTCTCACACGCTTTTGCACACCTCTGCCCCAAAGTGCAGCAAATCTTGGCAGGATGGGAGAAAGAGCTGGGCTAGCCCAGGAGCAGAATTTATCCCTAGGTGGGCATTCATGGGCTGTTCTTTACAGAAAGGGGATTTAAACCACCCTTTTCCACCCCGTCCCCTTGCTTTCTCTCCTCCGCAGATCAACTTCATTCTCTTCATTTGCATCATCCGGATACTAGTGCAGAAACTTCACTCTCCAGATGTTGGGCGAAACGAAACAAGCCAATATTCGTAAGTCTCTGTTCTTTCACCGTGCAGCTTGAGGTGATAGTCGTTGGATGCTGGTTTTGCTTTGGGCTTTAAAAATGGGTTGCTTTGACTGCTCTCTGAGGTGTCCCAGGAGGCATAAAATCACATGGGTGCCTTCTGCTGTCTTGGATCCATGTGTGGTGGGATTTCTCATCCAAGTGCTTCCCCCACTTGAGGCAAAAGAAAAACATGAATCAGCCTCGATTGAGCACGATTTCTTTAGCCCCTGCAAATTCAGGGGGAAAGTGGCTGGTTGTAAAATGGATACCCCACCAACATTACACTAGTGTCCAAAGAAAGTTAGAAGGAGGTCTTTGCACCATATTTAACAGAGCATATTGTTTGGTCCTGGGGCAAAGTGGAGGCAAAAAAACCCTGTTGCTTAGTTCTTTCTACCTACGGACAGCTGTGACGTAAAATCCACAGTTGACTTTAGGACAGGAGTAGTTTGGAAAGGGGGGAGCAGAGGAAACTGCTCTCCGAACCCAGCTGTTGAGTCTTGCACCCCCGGTGGGCAGTTGCCAACACTGCTTCCGGGCAGATAAGCAGTTGCTGAATTTCTGCTGGAGTTCAGGACACGTAACTCCTCCAATCCCATGAACGTTTTTTCAGCTTGCTTTTGCTAGAGGGAATTTAGAGCTGGGAAGGTGCACAGGAGAAGGAGGTGCCCTTAACCCCTTGCTAAACCGGCTTCCCAGGATTGCCCTACTTCCCAAGTAACAACCGTGCGAGTTCCAAGTTATTTATGTATTTTCTTTCCATTGCACTCCCCGCCCCTGCCAAAGAAACCCAATCAGCCCTCCAGGTAGGTGGCAATAAATCCAGATTAAGAAACTCTTAGCACGCAGCATAAAGATGCTATCAGTGAAAAATGCAGCGTTGGAAGAAAGAAGGAATTAATAAACAGGCAACATTCCTCTCCAGCAAACCTGTTTATATTCCAAAGACCGGCCCGGAGAAAATGATCCGGGCCTGATGAACAGGACAGCAGAGTGGGGGCGAACTGAGCTCCCCTCGGCAGGGAGGGGGGCTTTCGGTGCCTGGTGGTGGCTACCAAAAAATCCCTTCCTTGTGCCCCCACCAGCCATGCCTTTGATGGCAGCTGGTCTGTGAGGAAGACTTCCTTGAACTTCTGCAATGCCTCTTGGAACAGGCAAACTCCCTTCCCTCCCCAAATTTCTTCTCAGGCCCTGGAACTGCCGCAGCTGCCACAAGCATTTCGTTGTCCCTGGGTCCCCTTAGCCCTGCAGGAAAGATTTTTGGGGACAAAAGGGACGTTTTTTTCCCATGCATGGCCCTCCCTAGGACCCGAGCCCTTGTAAATCACCCTCTGGGAGAGATTTCTGGCAATCCGCTGCTTGTTCCTCATTACTGTGGTTTATTTCATCTCTGTACCCCTGAAGCTCTCTACAGTTTACAACAGTCCATAAAACAGATGGCAGAATGCGACAGAAATATATAAAATTGTGGGGAGGAGAGGGAGAGTTTAAAAGCTACAACCAAACAATAACGAAGAGAGACTTGGCTAAGCACCTGGGATGGGCATTGCCTTTAAGCCTCTAGGGAGCCAGGTAGGTCTTTAAAAGCCTCGGCTCAGAAGGCCATCTTGACCTGGCACTGGAAAGGTGACAAATTTGGCATTAGTTGGCCACAGTGGGGAGGTAAGAGCATGGGACTGGGACTCAGACGATCCGGGTTCGAGTCCCCGCTCAGCCATGGAGCCAACTGGGTGACTTTGGGCCAGTCACAGACTCTCAGCCCAACCTACCTCACAGGGCTGTTGTTGTGGGGATAAGATGGAGGAGGAGATGTAAGCTGCCTTGAGCCCTTTGGAGGAAAAAGGCAGGATATGAATTGAAAAATAAATAAAATAAAATAAATACTGGGGGGCCACCACCGAGAAAGCCCTCCACTTTGTCGCCCCGCTCTGTGCTTCCCTTGGAGTCAGTACTCGGAGGAAGGCCCCAGAGCAGCTTGTAGTGGGAAGGGGCGCTCTGAATGGGATCGCTGTCCCAAGCCCTATAGGGATTTATAGGTTAAAACCAGCACCTTGCATTGGGACCGGAAGCATGCAGGCAGCCAACCCAAGCGGGCCAGAACTGGTCTTACATGTTTGGATCTGCAGGCCCCAGGTATTTCTCCCAGAAATGCAGGGTTGCATAGAGAGAGTTCCCCTCCCCAGTGTATTTTCAGTGTCTCCCATGAAAATAGGACCAGGTCGGTTACTTCTTGGCTCAGTGGGATCTGAACCCGAACCCTACTGCTGGTGCACCAGCCTATCTGCATTTCTCCCCATCCTGCAGCAGCTGCCTTCGCCAGCCGGCCACCCTCCAGATCTGCCCTGGACTACAACTCCCATCATCCCCTCCCGGCATGGCCACTGGCCCTGCTGGCTGGGGATTCTGGCATGGCAGTCCAGCACCTCTGAAGGACACCGGCCCGGGGAAGGCAAGCGCTCTTAGCCCCCGGTTCAAAACGTTTTGATTAAATCAGCCCGTGCGGCCCAGAGCCTCGTCAGGCGATCCCGGAGCCGAGACGGGGCATAGGGCAGTGCTTAGATATTAATTAACAAAGCACCTTGGGACACACCTGTTTGTAATGGGCAGCCAGAGGGGGACGGGTGGAAAATGAGTGAAGCGGAGTCCGGGACGGACGACACACAGGACGGCAGAGCATCAGAAAAGAGGCCCCTGGCCGGGGCAATGGCAGCCCCCAATTGTGTGGGGATAGCCAGAAAGGGGGCCAGGGTGGCTCTTCCAGGAGGCCGTTGGCTGCAAGCAAGAGGAGGCCAAGGACGGGAACATTCAGCGCAGCGGAGTGGCGACGTGCAAGGGAAAAGAAATTCAACAGGGCAGTTCTCGTGTTCTAGTTGACGGCATTCTTCCCTCCACCTTAATCAGCTTATTCTGTTTTGGGAATGCCCAGTAGAAATGAATAAAGCAAAGATGGCTGTGAGGAAAGGTATTCCACATTCATTTATTCATTCATTCATATTACATTTATCTCCCACCTTCTTTCCTTTCAAGGAGTCCAGGCAGGTTACATAATTCTCCTCCTCTCCGTCTTATGCCCACAACAACAACCCTGTGAGGTAGGTTGGGCTGAGACTCTGCCTGGCCCAAAGTCACCCAGTTGGCTCCATGGCTGAGTGGGGACTATAACCCAGATCTCCGGAATCCGAGTCCAGCGTTCTGAACCCCTGCACCACACCGGCTCTCAAATGGATGATAGGACTGACAAACATTCCACAAAAAGATGCAGTCTCTGGAAACCTTCATCATTCTAGATCATGGGCGTGAACCCTTAGTCCAGGGGCCAGTCAGGCCTGCCTGAGGCCCCAATCCTGGGTTCACATGGTCAAATCCGGTGCTTTTCTTGTTAAAAAAAAAAAAAGGTGCCGGAACTCATGTTGCCGCCGGCAGTAAGCACACACACCAATCCCAAGCCGAGCAGCCGAGCAGCATCCTGAGCTGCTGTCTCTCACTATCAGATAGCAGATCGAAGACACAATAGCAGCCTGCAGGCGCTATGTTAATGATGTTTGCTGCTGATCTGCTACGCCAAAATCACTTCGTAAGATCCATTGAAAAAAAGGTGCCAGAATGCCGTTCCGGTGCGTTCTATGACAAAAAAAGCCCTGGTCAAATCAAACCATGGTGGAGGGTGGATGGGTCAAAGGACGGGCCATCAGAGGCACCCACAATTTGATCAAGCCACTGTGGTTTGCCCCTTCTGAAACCCAACATCACCCACCCCTCCAATGCTGCTGAATCATGCCGTACGAACCCAGCATGGGGTGGGTTATGGGTTTAGGGGTTGCCTGCCATCGGTTGGTTTACCATGCCAATGGCCCACACTTGCTGGGTTCTCACGACACGACAACCCACTCTGTGCCATCGGGTTACCTGCAAGTCACAGTTGCTACTTAAGCCTCCACAGTTCACCTGGATTGTGTGAACCCTGCTGCTGACGCCTCAGAGCAGAAGCGCAGCGAAATGTGGCAATCTATAAATAAGCCAGACTGTAAATTCTCCTAGAGTCGAGGACCAGGAGCTGAAGGCGGGGCTCTTATTCTTTCGCAGCATCAATTTCTTGATGCATCATCTTCCACTGGCTGGCTGGGACGGGCTGGGGGTAGTGCGCCTTTTTTCTGTCCAAATTTGCATAGGATTGCGCCCTGCGTTATTTATTTTTCAGCCCCGTGCTTAGAAAAGGTACTTCCTGGAGCAATAGGAGCCGGAAAAAAATGCCAGGCCCCTGCCCCGTGTCGCTTGCAGTTGCTGCCTTAGCCACCCACTAGAATGCTTTCTGCGGCTGGCCAGGTACCAGGTGAAAGCTCCCCCACAGCCCAAGCTGGTCCTGGGGGAGCTGGTGAGCCCAGCTGGAGCAATGGAAGCTCTTTTGCCGGCCACCTCCTGGGTGCATTCGAAGATTAGTCCTGCTTGAACGAAGGAGACTTTTTCCAGACTTCTTTAATACGCTTTTTAAGCAAAAGAACTAATCCTTCCTGCCTCTGATGGAATGAGGATTTATCTTAGTGGGCTAGGTTTGGAACCCATTTGACCTCCCTTTTCTGGTGGCCTTTGCTCTCTAGCAAATGTCTGTTTAAAGGAATCGTTAGCTGATAACTTTAAAAGGCTGGCTTCTCGCCAAGATGCTTTCCCTCCAGTCCGAGGGCCAGGTATACAAAATGACTCATCCCCTAATGCCAGTCAATCAGGGGGAGCCTAAATTTAGAAGCAATCACCATTAATTCTCTGTTTTGAAGGGTTTTATTCTGGCCACTTGGTAAATCACTTGTATAATGACAAAAGATTAAACAGGCCCTTGGTGGGTCATTCCAAATTGGGACTGTATCACGCCTGGGGCCGTACTCCTGATTTTCAGACCATGTCTCCCAGCATCCGTGGCCATTGGTCCTGCTAGCTGGGGCTGATGGGAGTTGAAGTCCAAAGGATTTGTGGACGGCTCAGCCAGGCTCACAACGTTCTTCTTATGTGAATATTACTCTGGGCCAAACATGGAATTTCTGGGTGAATACTGGTGAGAAGAGAAAGTTTAACACCCCACCTCCTGGAGCACCTGATTCTGGGCCACGTGCATTTACACTGGAGTAAAGCCTATCGCACATAATTCCTCTGTGTGATTAGGAAGAGGTGTTGCTTGGCTCTCACACCGCAGGTTGAGGGCTTTCCATATTTCTGCCGCCCTCCCTGACGTGGTGGAGGGCAGCTGGCGGATCCGCGCCGCCCTGCATGTAGGGCAAAGTCCCCTGGGCTTGCTTCCTCCCTGCCGGGCTTGCGTTCTGCGTTGGAGGTACTCATTTGCGTTGAAACAGGTCTCTCCCCCCCTGCAGCGGAAGGTGCAGCTCGGGAGAAGCGGCACCGTGCTGTGTGGCTCGGTGAAGGACCGTTCCCGCTGCTTGTGTGCCGGGATCCCCTTTTATGGGAGCATTCCTGGGCCCTTTCAGGATTTCCAAGAAGGCTCTCAAGGCCCACATCCTTTCTCTCTCCTTCGCACGCTCCATGGGCTTCCGGTCATGTTACCTTTTGACTGGCATTTTATTGTATCAATGCAGAGTATCTGTCCATTGTGTCTCTGCCGCATCGGCTTGCTATTGCGAGCTAGATTCCCTCTGCTCTCAAAAGGCAAAGGGCTTCGTTTCAAATCTGCATCCAGCAAACGATAGCCAGCAAAGAAAAAGTCTCTGAGCATGCACAGAGTGGTTTGTTGAACCCTACCCAGAAACTATTTCCAAAAGCCTTCCTTGGGGTCAGTTCCCGGGTCTGCCGGAACAGCTGGAGATGGCAGCCTTGGGATAAGCTCTCCTCCCTCCGGCATCTCTGCGTCCAGGGCCCTCATTTCCCAAGCTTCCTCCTCCTCCAAGGAATCCACGTGCCGAGAACAGCTGCCTCTTCCACTCCCAACAGTTTGCATTGCTTCCTTCTTGCCCACTGCACGGAGAGGGCTGCACCTGTACAGGTGCTGCGCCCCTACCTGGAGAACGACTGCCTGGCGGCAGTGACACACACGTTGGTGACTTCCTGACTTGACTTCTGTAATGTGCTCTACGTGGGGCTGCCCTTGAAGACGGTCCGGATACTTCAGTTGGTTCAAAATAGAGCTGCCAGGCTGCTGACGGGGACGGAGCGTTATGTTCTCATGACTCCAGTCCTCTGTCAGCTTCACTGGCTTCCCATTGAAGTCCGGGCCCAATTCAAGGTGTTGGTGATGACCTATAAAGCCCTCAACGGCCTGGGACCAGGGTATCTAAAGGAGTGCTTACGTCCATATATGCCCGCCCGCCCCTTGAGATCGGCGGCAGAGGTCCTCCTCCGGGAACCCTCCGTGAAAGAAATTAGGAGGGTAGGTACTCAGAGGAGGGCTTTCTCTGCGGTGGCGCCCAATCTATGGAATGCGCTCATCAGAGAGGTCCGCCTGGCGCCGTCATTTGTTTTTCGGCGCCAGGCCAAGACCTTTTTATTCAAATGCTATTTTAATTGTTAATATTATTTATTTATTTTATTCTTTGGCCAGGGCGACTTAATTTATACTGTTAAATTATATTGTTTCATATGATGTTATTTATTTATGTTTGTGAGCCTCCCCGAGGCTTCGGCGAATGGGGCAACATAGAAGCTCCCTAAATAAATAAATAAATAAATAAATAAATAAATAAATAAATAAATAAATAAATAAATAAATAAATAAATAAATAAATAAATAAATAGGTCTAGAATGCATTTTTAGACAGCACGGCAGTCTGGGAGTTGCAGGCTTTGCTTCTTTGTTTAAATGTGTAGGACTGCAGGCTAAATGGGCCTTTCTAACCTCTGGGGTCAGAGGAGATCGTTCTCCATGAAGGATCACCTGCCACTGTTTAGGGGACACACTGGAGAAAGCCCTTGGCACGCGCGCCCTGAAAGCAGGCCTCCGCGCGTCACCGTGCCTTCAAAAGGGCTTCCCCCTCCGATCTCAGTAGCTGGGCAGGTGCAGAGTGAGACAGCCGGGGATCAGCAGGTGTGCCCCATCATCCCCGGCACACCCTCTCCCCCAGTGCCCCCTAATCCCGGTCGCTCTGCCCTTCAGGAGACTCGCCAAGTCCACCCTGCTGCTCATCCCGCTCTTTGGCATCCACTACACCATGTTTGCCTTCTTCCCTGACTCGGCAAAGAAGGAGCTCCTGGAGGTGAAGCTTGTCTTTGAGCTGGTCCTGGGCTCCTTTCAGGTGAGCAGCTCCGGCACATGGAGGGCTTGGGTGTGTGGCAGGCTTTCCAAAACGGAGCCGCCAGGACGGCGGGGGGTTTGGAAGCAGAGGCCGAAGAGGAACCGCCAAAAGCAATGAATATGTTTAGCCTGGGGAAGAGAAGATTATGGGAAACACGATAGTCCCCTTCCAATAGGTCACACGCTGTGCTTGGTGGCAGGGCAAGAGCCGGTGGCAGAAAAGGCAGGGAAATGGCTGATTTCTGCTCAACACGAAGAGACGCATCCTGGCAGCAAGATCTGCTCGGCTGCCGAACAGACCCTGCCGTGGGAAGCTGTGGGCTCTCCTTCATGGGAGGAATCTCAGAAGTGGGGTGGCCATCTGTGAGGGGTACTGCAGCTGCGGGGGCTTGACCCCCATCAGGGGACATAAATCGTGCTGCTTTCCTGGGAAGAATTCGTTTGCATGCGATATTCCGCTGGGAATTGGCATAGCTTTACCAGAGCCTACTTTTCCTTAGTCTTGGGGATAGAGGGCAGGGATACAAGTAAAGCCATGCCCAGAGCAGACACGGGAATAAAATCTGCTTGTCCATTCATGTCTCTCCCATTACCTCCCCTGTCTTCTAGGGCTTTGTAGTGGCCGTCCTGTATTGCTTCCTCAATGGAGAGGTGAGACCGAAAGTATCCTTCGTATCTGGGACCAGTCGGTCAAACATACTGCATAGATTCATCATCTGCTAATTTGGGAATTAAATTCAGTGAACATTGCTTTTTAACTTTATCAGACAAAATGCAACATGTCACAGTATATAAAATAATGAAGTTACAGATATTAAAGTAATTTCATATTCATGATTTCATATATGAAATTATTCACCAAAATCAGGCTATGTTCAGTGTGGCATAACTTCAGGGTGATGCTCCAAATGAGCCACTGATGTAAAGCTGTTCTCCAAACTCCCAGAGCCTTTTTATAATAATTTATAGGGTGCTAATTTCAAGATGCTTTCATTTCTGGGTTCCAAAAAACCAGGAATTCACACCAAATGGGACAGCTGCTACTGCTATAATAATTATTCATTTTTAAAGTACCTAAATTTTACTGAGTGCTGTACACAGATATTAGTGGGGTGGGGTGGAGGAACAGTTCCTACCTGAAGGGTTGCAATCTGAAAGGCACGACACAAAAGGAACTCATGAGGAGGAGGGAAGAGGAAAAAGCAAGCTCAGCCACCAGCTGTAAAAATTATTCAGTGGGGAGAAAATCTGTAGGGAGGGAATGTCTGCAGAATCCCTTGGTGATGCAGAATCCTTATTATGTGGGTTTCCTTCTCAGGATCGCCTCAATAGACCCCCCCCCCCCGGTGTATGAACAGGGGAGCAGCAGGGAGGGGAGTCTAAACAAGGCCCCACACCCATCCTCCATGTGATTGGGAGTTGCGTGTAGAGATATCCAAGAATTTAGCTCCTGTTAGCAATGCTGAACATGCCTCTGAGGATGTTTTCACTATTTCCTGAGACTGAATTCAAATTAGAAAGTGCGTGTGTGAAAAGTGTGCTTTTTCACACTTTAACCTTTGAGGGGAAATGTTGGGAGGCTGCTTGGAAAGTGTGCATTTTCATATCTGAAAATGCGCAATTTTCCTGTCCATGGAAAGCAAATGCTTTTATTCAGAAGCTAGAGCAAGGGAAAATAATTAACCAGGTGCGAGAACAGAGAACCTCAGGGAGTTGAGTCATGAATGCCCAAATAAGGTTATAGCCATTTCTATAATGATCAACTTGGACAGTTATAGGAGAAGAGACCAAGCTGATCAAGAGGATCCGGCTGTCCCATCTCTCACCCTGTTCTTTTATGTTTTTAAGTTCAGATATTCCAAGGAAACAGTCCCTCAGTCTATGGCCACCTATCCAGAGCACCAGTGGCTCTGGTCTGGGACATCAGGTTGGCAGGGAAATTCACAATGTGATCTGCAAGATCCACATGGGAAGATCCATTAAAAAATAAACCTAGAGATTTTAATTAGGACAGATCCATTATACCAGCCCTCCCTCAAAATGTGTGGAAGCAGATCCATTATACCAGCCCTGCTGAAAGACTTGATTTTTCCTCTTCCCTCCCCATCCCGCTTTCCTTTTATGAGGCATCTCCCTTTTTTCACTCCCTAGGTTCAAGGTGAGCTGAAGCGCAAATGGCGCCGGTGGCACATGGAGAGGTTCCTGGGCTCTGACCTGAAGTACCACCATCCATCCTTGGGCAGCAACGGCACCAACTTCAGCACCCAAACCTCTATGCTGACCAAATGTAGCCCAAAATCCTGCCGATGCTCTAGCTTCCAGGCCGAGTTGTCCCTGGTCTAAGGTCCACAAGCAGATGACTGAGAGGACAAATGGGCGGGAGGCAGGCGAGGAAGATGGGGCCAGCCACGGCTTCGGCTTCGGATGAAACGTCCCGACTTTTTAAGAGATGAGTGCACCAAACTGGGTGCGTACACTGGAACTGAGCCGTCCTGGGTGCGGGAGGCACATTTGGAGGGCTGATTTCATTGCTTTTCCCAGCTCCTGAACTGCTGGCATTGGAAATATTCCTGAACATGACATGATCGCTGCGTGTGAAGCACAAGGAAGAGCTGGTGGGAGAGGCAGGGATGTCTGTTGACTTCTCCCAGAAAAGAAGGGAACAGAAGGGATTGCTGTGGCCAAGAGCCAGAGGGGAAACGGCTTGCAAAGGGTCGCCTGTGGGGAGGGATGCGCCCCTTCCCCCTGCCGACAGCCCTCAAAGGAGCTACTTTTCCCTCGAGAACCCGGAAAGCTGCCCCAGCCCCAGAGCTGGTACAGGCTCTGTTGATGCTGGACACGTTTCCAGCACCCAAAGGCAGTCCCCAGAGATGCATCTCCAAACTATTGGAACAAGGAGACGGTGGCACAGCAAGTTCTAACCAGCGACAACTCTCTGTGGACTGTGTAAGAAGCCCTCGCAGCCCCACTGCTCGGGGGACTTCACCCGCCAAGCCCCCCGGGATGGATTGCTGCCTGCATGCGAAGCGTGTGCGGATCCGCGTGGCTGCCTCGCTCCCCGACCTGCGAGCACAAAGCAGGTCGCCTGCTCTTCTGGGGCTCGCTCTGTTCCACGCTGCTGAGCCAGCCGGCGCTCCTCCATCTGCGGAATAAGATTTTTCCCACTTCCTGGGGGCGGGTTGGGCTTGGCCGCTTGGGCCGTGGGGTCTGGCTGAAGACATTCCCGGGAGATCGTGGACCGCTGAGCCTCTGGGGCTGGGAGTTCCCACTGCCTCCCCAGGCTGGAAAAACGAGCTGGAAAAGCTTGTGGTGCATTACTGCGTTCTGAGGGTTTATCGATGCAAACCCCAGTGCCTGCAACTGCCTCGGGTGGGTTCACGATTGTTCCCCAGAGGACTCACTGTTGGCACCTCCAGTCCTGGAAGAGGTGCGGTTTTGAAGCAGGCGTGGCGAACCTGTGCGACTCATCTGGTTTTGATGAGGAGCAAACAGTCCTTTCAAGGGCCTGTTTTCCACATGCTGCAAATGGAGAAAGGAGAAATCCGGCAGCCACTTCTGAAGTCCCTCCTCTGCCTTGCCGTCTCTTGAAGCGCCAGCATTCGTTCTCGGCCCTCTTTGTAAATATTCCAGAAACTTCTAGGACTGCTGTTTTGACAGCAGCTCTAATGAAATATTCCATGAGGTACATGTACAATTATTCAATGTGAAGATGCTTGCAGTCTCTTTTTTGTGGGCCTTCCCAGCCGCTGTAGGCGCAGAATCTAGCTTGTTTCTAAGGTCAATTCACCCTCTGTTATTTATTCAGCCAGACCTGAAAAAAACTTCTTTTTCATTGATTCATCTCAGAAGGATTTCTTGTTTCGTTTCAGAGTGTGATGGGGTTTGAGGGTGGGGTGCGGGGAAATCTTTCCATTATGGCTACCTTTGTGGAAAGCAAAGAATAAACCAATATGAAAAGGTGCTTTTGGTAAACTTACCTTTTCAGAAATCAGTTCCTGGTTTTGTCCTGCACTGGACCTCCCCTGCTGTGATGGGTTGGGACTCAAACTCTGCCTCGAGGGGAAAGGATCCAATTGCAGAAGTCACCCCTATACAATTTCTGGGGTCCCCCATCCCCAGACCACACCGCACCCTATTGGTCAAGTTGTCCTAATAGTTGGTAGCATGTTCAGGGGGCTATAGGACCCGGCGTGGGAAGGGGTGAGTGGGAAAGTCCACTTCCATCAGAGCAAAGGATCCGGTGTGAATCTGAATCCAACCCAAAATGTGCAGGCCTCCCACACGTGGCATCGTTGCAAGACCTCTTCCTAAAGAACATGCAGATTCCATTTAGGACAAAAATGAGGAAATGTTGCAGTTTGACAGCACGGAAAAGGTGAATGAGAACAAAGTTATTGAATTGCAACCACCAAACCATATTTTAAAAGGCCAGGAAGGACTGACACTAACTCAGGAAGCTATAAGAATGCAATGCACCTTCCTGTGTACACAAGTTAGAGATGCCACGTTTTGTGTTTACACAGTACTGCAAAAGCCCTCTTTGGAAGGCGAGGCTTCTCTCAGCCCAGAGTGGAACATGGTGATACTGGCCTTCCTTGGAGGGCTGTTGCAAAACTTGTGAGAGATCCCGGTGGGAAAACCAGGCATAACACTGGAGTTCTGTGCTTGCAACACGGGGCAGGTGCATCCTGCTTGCAAAGGAAGCCGTGGGTGAGAGGTGCACTGGGACCCAGGATGTGTGGCAAGGTAAGAACATCACCGTTTCCATGGGCCCCGGAACTGATCGATTCTGCCTTTCTGGTACAGCTATTGGACACGGAGAAAAAAATGCAACCTTACTCATTTAAGTTCCTGTCTTGTCTTTTCCTGCAACTAAACACAGCCCTTGGGAGATGGGGTGATCTGTATTAACGGGGGGGGGGGGTCAGAGCACTCCTCATGCGCACGCTTTTGCCCAACAGCGGCACTCCAAATCAGGAAGTCAGCAGCTGCTTTTACAAAACCAGTCTGGGAGCTCCAAATGCTGGGCATTGATTTGTCCCTTCAAAAAAATTACTTGCACATTCAAAGCATCGCACTTGTCTTAATCCCCACAACAACCTTGCAGTGTAGGCCAGTGCTACAGCAGAGAGCAGTGGCCTTTGCCCAGTGCCGCCTGATGAATACGTGGTTGCCTCTGGGTTCGAGCTGGTCCTTTCCTGGCCCTGTGCAAGCTCTTAGCCAGCAGACTGCACCAACGACCAAACTGAGCATATAAACGGGCCCTGCCAGGGATCTCCCAGTTTTCAGATTCCAGCCCTGAACAGAGCTGTCATGGCCTCATCTGCCCCTCCAGGCTCCCCCTCTTCCCTCCGAGCAGAGACACGATCCTCATGGCAAACTGGGCGTTCTCAGCAACGGGATATTGACGTCAGTGATCCTTGCCGTGGCGCAGGGTCTTTGGGGGTAGCATGCTTATGGATGGATGAGGAAGGCCCTATAATGGACATGGGGAAACGGGCCAACACAGCCCCCTGTATTTCCAGGATCTCCTTAGACGTATGTGCAGGAAGAGCGTTGCACTTGCAACAAGCGTCTGCATTTCCAACCGCGCCGTTACTCGGCTACCTGCGAAACTCACCCTGGAGTGAGCAAACCAGAGCCAGCCTCCTGCACTAGCGAACCAATCTGCTTCATGCCTGCATCCCTCAGCAAAAGGAAACGATTCATAATTTAAGAGCAACAGCTTTCGTGTGGTGCTCCTAAGGGAACCAAAATCCGTAGCCTACTTACAATGAAGAGGAGGTTGCGGCCCTCCTGTGAAACGCTGGAGAAGGTTGTGAGCAGGAAGCACTGGTTGTTATTCTTATTAGCATCAGCATTAATTTTTTGGTGACCGTGTGCTGTCAAGCCCTCTGCAACTTGTGGCAGCCCTCCGAATGAGCACCCCCCGTAAGTCCTGTGCTTGAAAGTCCTGCTTAGGTCTTTCAAACGCAAGGCTGGCTTCCTTGATGGAGTCCATTCATCTCCCCTTTGGCCCTCCCCTTCTTCTCCTGCCGGCAGCTCCCCTTGGCATGAATGTCTCCTCTGGGGAGTCCAGCCTTCTCATGGGGTGCCCAAAGCACGACAGACCCGGCTTTGCCATTTTTGCTTCCGGGGAAGCTCTGGCTTGATTCAATCCAGGACCCACCTGTCGATCCAGGATAACCACAAAGTTTTCTTCCAGCCCCAGGAAAGAAACACAGGAAAAAAGCGAGTCAGAAGGGGCCTCCCGGGCCATCTAGTCTGGCCCCCAGCTCCCGCTGGCTCTGTTCATGTAATCCCCAAGACGTGGCTGTCCAATCTTCCCTTGAACAGCCTCATGGATGGGGCCTCCACCACCTCCCTTGAGGGTGTTCAAGGAGCATTTCAAATGCATCCATTTCCTCCCCATCGGCTCTCTTCATTGTCCGGCATTCCTACCCATACATGGTGATTGGGAAAACCATGGTGCGGATGGTCTTGGTCTTGGTCTCCAAGGAAACATCCTCGCACTTGCTGCCCTTCCAAGTCTTGGGCTTCTCTGGATTTCTTGGCTGCAGCCTCCCTTTGAATGGATGACTGAGCCAAGGTATACATAAATTCACAATTTCAATCTCTTCATGGTTCACAGTGAAATTATGCAATTCTTCCATAGCCATGATGATTGTTTTCTTAATATTTATCGGCAGTCCTGCTTTTGCACATTCTTCTTTCACTTTGATCAGAGATTAGCATCAGGTAAACCTTCCCAGTCAGTTTTTTCAGTGTGGGAAGTGCAAGGTCTTGCCCTTGGGGGATAGGAATGGGGGTCATAAGTACAGGTTGGGGGACAAGTGGCTGGAGAGCAGCACTTGCGAAAGGGACCTCGGGGTGCTGGTCGACTGCAGGCTGAACGTGAGCCAGCCGTGTGATGCGGTGGCCAAGAGGGCGAACGCCACCCGTGGTTGCATAGCCAGAAGTGTGGCTACTAGAGCGAGAGAGGTATCACTACCACTCTGCATGACTCTGGTGCGCCCGCAACTGGAGTATTGTGTTCAGTTTTTGGCCCCTCATTAAAGGAAGGATATAGCCAGGTTGGAGTCAGTGCAGCGCAGGGCCACAAGGTTGGTGGCCGGTTTGCAGGGGATGCTGTATGGGGCGAGACTGAGGGAACTGGGTCTCTTCAGCCTGGAGAAGAGGAGACTCCGAGGGGATCTGTTGGCGACATACAGGCATGTGAGGGGATGTCACACGGAGGTGGGTAGAGACCTGTTCTCCCCTGCAGAGGAGGGCAGAAGGTGCTGCAACGGAGCAAAGCTCAGGGAATCCAGGTTCCATTTGGATGTCAGGAAGCAATTCCTGACAGTCAGGACCCCGAGGGTGTGGAATGGGCTTCCACGAGAGGTCGTTGAGGCCCCCTCGGTGCGGGTGTTCAAGGATAGGCTGGACATCCACATGGTGGGCATGTCATGAGCGGAGCTGGCTGGAGCCGGGGGTCAAACTAGATGGCCGGGGAGGCCCCTTCTGACTCGCTCTGTTTCTATGTTTCCAAGCCTGGACAGTACAGTGTTTTGATTGTCTTCTTTAATTAGCTTGCAAAGCAGCAGAGCTGCTTTATTTAAAGCTTCAATTTGCACATTAATAAAGCAATCTATTGCACACATGCCTCTTAATTTTATTAAACCAAAACAAG